ACCCATCCACTCATTCACTCCATCCACCCACCTTACTCACCCACCCATCCACCCACTCATTCATTCACCCATCCACCCACCTTACATTCACCCACCCATCCACCCACTCATTCACTCACTCCATCCACCCACTCATTCACTCACCCATCCACCCACTCATTCACTCACCCATCCACCCACTCATTCACTCACCCATCCACCCACTCATTCATTCACTCACCCATCCACCCACTCATTCACTCACCATCCACTCCACCTCATTCACTCACCCATCCACCCACTCATTCACTCACCCATCCACCCACTCATTCACTACTCCATCCACCTCACCATTCACCACCCATCCACCCACCATTCAATTACTCCATCCACCCACCATTCACTCACCCATCCACCCACTCATTCACTCACCCATCCACCACTCATTCATCACCCATCCACCCACTCATTCATCACCATCCACTCCACTCATTCACTCACCCATCCACCCATTCATTCACCCACCCACCTACTCATTCATTCACCTACCTATCTACCACCCACTCATTCATTCACCCATCCACCCATTCACTCACCCATCTACCCACCATTCACTCACCCACCCACCTTGGTCTCACTTACCATCTACCCACTCATTCACTCACTCCATCCACTCCACTCATATTCATTCATTCACCCACTCATTCATTCACTATCCACTCATTCACCCACCCACCCATTCACCCATCCACTCCACTTCCATTCACCCACCCACTCATTCATGCATTCACCCATCCACCCACCCATTCACTCACCCATCCATCCACCCACTCATTCATTCACCCATCCACCCATTCACTCACCCATCTACCCACTCATTCATTCATTCACCCATCCACCCACTCATTCACTCACCCATCCACCCACCCACTCATTCATTCACCCACTCACCCATTCATTCATTCACCCATCCACCCACTTATTCATCAATTTATCCACCCACTCATTCATTCATTCACCCACCCATCCATTCATTCATTCACCCATCTACCCACTTATTCACTCACCTATCCACCCACTCATTCATTCATTCACCCACACATTCATTCATTCACCCACTCACCCATTCATTCATTCACCACCCACCCATTCATTCACTCCATCCACCCATTCATTCATTCATTCACCCATCCACCCACTTATTCATCCACCCATCCATCCACTCATTCATTCATTCACCCACCTACCCACTCATTCACCCACCCACCCACTCATTCATTCACCCATCCACCCACTCATTCATTCACCCATCCACCCACTCATTCATTCATCCACCCATCCACCCACTCATTCATTCACTCATCTATCCACGCACTCATTCACTCACCCATCCACCCACTCATTCATTCACTTATCTATCCACTCACTCATCCACCCATCCACTCCTTCCTTCATTTATTCATCTATTTCCATCCATCCAGTCACCCATCCACCCACCCATTCATTCAGCTATCCATCCACTCGCTCATCCATCCATCCATCCACCCATTCATTCAACTATCCGGCCACTCGCTCATCCATCTATCCACTCCTTCCTTCATTTATTCATCCATCTCCATCCAGTCACCCATCCACCCACGCATTCATTCACTCATCTATCCACACACATCCACCCATTCACTCATCCATTTGCCCACCCACTCATTCACCCACCTATTCTTTCATTTATTTATTCATCTACCCACTCTCTCATCCACCCACTCATTCATTCATTCATCTATCCATCCACTCACCCATCCACCCACTCACTCATCCATTCATCTACCCACTCACTCTTTCATTCATTCACTCACTCATCCACCCATTCATTCATTCATCCACCCACTCATCCATCTGTTCACTCATTGTTTTATTCATTCATCCATCCATCCATCCATCCACTCACCCATCTATCTACTCATTTATTCATTCACCCACTCAGTCATCCATCACCTCATTCATTTATCCATCCATCTCCATTCATTTACTCAGCCATCCACTCATTCACTCTTTCATCCACGCACTCATCCATCCACTCATTCATTTGTTCATTCATCAATCTCTATCCATTCACTCATCCATTCATTCGTTCCTATCCACTCATTCATCCACTGATTCATTCATTCATTCATTCACTCATCCATCCATGCATCTGTCTGCTGACTCATCCATCCTACTCACTAATCTATCCACCCATTCCCTCATCCATCCATTCACTCATCCATCCATCCATTCATTCATCCATCTGTGCATTTGTCCATACATGCATCTATCCATCCATCTATCCATGCATCTATCCATCCATCTGTTCACTCATTCATCCATTCACTCATCCATCTATCCACCCACTCATTCATGCATCTCTCTGCTCATCCACTCATTTATTCACCCATCCATTCTTTCATGCACTCGTCCACTGTTCATCTGTCATCCATCCATGTGTTTGGTGATGGCTCCTGAGGCCTCTGGGGGACAGTCAGTACCAGGCTCGATGCTGGGCAGGTAGATGTTGTCTTTTTCCTCTTGAAGCTTCAGCTGACAGTGCAGTGGTTTGCTCGCTTATTTATATCTGTAGCTGTTCAAATAAAACAGAATCAGATCCCTAGGGAGAGGATTTCCAAGGGCCAAATGGCGCCATTTCCAGCCTGGGAATCCCAGCTTCTTCCCACTGTTGCCCTCACCTAACCCCAGCACACCAACCCATTACCACAGGTCTCGCTCTTCCTAGGTCGAGAAGAAAGAGAGTCAGTGTGTATGTCAGGAGCTCCTGGTTCTAAATCTCGGCCTCCTGAATGGTGGCCTCTGCTCCATGGGGACTCCTGGGGGTGCTGCCCTGGAGAGTCGGCGAATGCAGAGCTTCAGGCCAAGGTTTATTCACCTGAACAACTTGTAGTGCAGACAGGGGCAGGAGGGTTTTGAGAACAAAGTGCTCTGTGTTTGGTTCTGCAGGTCAGGGAGCTTATCCGGGTGCCTTTACTCAAAGCCATTTCTGGGTCTTACATCTTTGGCCAGAATGTTCTAAGGACGACGTGAAGTGTCTCTTTATCTTGGGAGTGTGTAGTGTTTTTAGGTTTATTTGTCGAAGCTTTACTCTTGCTCAGGATTTAACGGTCTTTCCCCTAGATCACAGGTGGAATTGATACATGCTTTCTGCCTCCATTACCGCCTCAAATAATCAAGCATGCAAATTAGGATACACTGCCCGGGGTTATAACCCTGTGGTTTCAGAAACCCCATTCCCATAGGTATGGCTGACTGAGAGGAGATTGGCATAATTTTTCCATGAATAATGCCTTTTTGCAACAATAAAACTTGGTATTGATACAGATTACACATTAAGTAGTATGACTAGTCTTGATTTTGAAATATAGGACACACTGTAAAGCTGTGGTAATGCAAGCATTTGTGTATAGTTAGGCCATTTGCTCACTAGTTCTTAGTTGTTTTCAATCCCTGGCTTCCTAAACCTGAAAGGACACCTTTTGCATCTCTCCTAAGTCTTTTGTTTCAGAGCCAGAGCCTCCTGCTTTGAGACAAAGCCCCATCACTTCCCTTCTCCTTCCAAGCCGGGGAAGCTGTTGCTGCCCCAGACCTCCACCAGGGCTCACTTGTGTTGCTGGTCACCCCTTTTCTGGAGTTTGCCATGACTAAAATTGGAAGTGAGAGAAATGAGGGCAGGCATGAGGGTGTGTGTTCCAGGCCTGCAGCCCTCCCGACCTCCAGGGCGGCCGCCCTCCAACAGACACATGAGCTGAACTCCAGCTCACCCTGACCCTTCCTTTCTCTTAAGGGAGTAAGATTTTAAGAGCATCCCATCTCTCCTGGAACACAACTTTGTGAAAACACATCCAAGCAGGCCTCAGGAAGGTGTTGGCAGGGCTGGGGTGGGGCCCTCCAGGCTCTTCCCACAAAAGGTGTGGCAAGGCCAGCCAGTGTGGGAAAGAGGTGGGAAGGAGGCAGAAAAGCTGTGCAGAGCCAGCACATGAAGCCAGAGGCGCGTTGCAGATGGCGCTGGGTACTGCCTCTGCCCTCCACTCTGCAAAATGCTACCAGTGCCTGCTAATCCTGAACCTCGCGCCCCCAGGCGAATCCCACACCATCCTGAAGCCAGGTTTCCCGTTCCTGATAATGGGATTAAAAAGATCTTCCTGGGTGTTGTTTGTGAGGGTTTCATAAAATAGTGTAAAAATGCTGACTCATATGCAGCATGGAGAGGCTGCTGGGACTATTCTGCCATGACCGTGGTCTCTTGGTTTAGAGCATTTAGGGCCAAACTGCTGGCATGGTTGACCCTAAGCTGGAGATTGGAGGCTGCTTTAACCAGGCTGTGGCCCTAGAATCTAGGCCATGGCAGAAGGATCCTGAAGAAGTTTCCGGCTGGCCTCTGCTGGCCAAGTGACGGGCAGGTGGTTCCAGGACTCGGCAGCTCACTTGTGTCGAATGTGGACCTCGTCGGCGTGTTTTCATGGATAAGAAGACCCTTCGTTACAGCCTCCATGCCTCATCCAGTACCAATTTTGTTTCACCAATACAATGAGTGCAAATCAATGCCCGTGTGCCAAACGGAAGGTCTTTGGGGTTTTGAGAGACCTTTGTGACAACAGGGAACTGAGGTCTTTGGGTTCTGGAGACCCTGATGTCAACAGGGAACTAAGATTGGGGTTTTACTTGGAGGCATTCTTGTTCTCCTGGACAGGCCTCTCCGCTGGGCACACTGGGTGGTGCTCCTATGCAGCTGGAAATGGCCCTGCCTTTGCTTGTTGGTCTCACCGCAGTCGTGCTGATGGCTTCGTAAGCGCCCGTCTGCAGAAGCCAAGTCGGCAGCACGGCAGCTTCCCGGGTCACTTCCCCTCGGTTCCCGGGGTGGGGCGGCCTCTGGCTGCCGTGGAGCAGCCTCTGATTAACCGGCGGATGCTTATGTTGCTTAGAGACCCTCGTAGCGTGCCAGTCAACGCTTGCTTTTTCTCTTTCTTTTTCCACAGGACTATTTTTACCCGAGATACTTAGGTAAGTCTCAATTACTTCTCTACCCTGGTTGTCGTAGAGGCATAGTTGGGGGTACGTGTTTCATGCTGGAAGCATCTCCTCACCACGTAACTCTTGGAAGGAAGATTCTTAATCACACGGTGCACATGGAACTGTCCGGAACATGCGGGTCAGAAACACAAGATTCTCTGTTTATTTTATACCACAGCTTTATTCCGTGTTAGTGGAACCTCAGGCGAATGCCGTTATCTGCAAACCCCTTCTCTGAGTTGACGCCAGGCTCAGCTCCTTGTCAGGACATGTAATGGATTTTGTCTTCCAGTTTTCTGATCTCAGCACTAAACACTTCTGAAGTCACTGAGGACCCCAAAGGGGTCCATGTTCATGTGGGCTGTACGGACTGATATTTGCCGTATTCTTAATTAAAACCAAGAACACTCAATAGTGTTTCTGTTTAATTTGAAGAATAGGAATGCACAGACGTTATCTCAGCCATCAGAGCAGCTGGTGCATGCGGGGCGGCCTCCGGAGACCCCCAGTGTACGCTTGAGAAGGGAGGACAGCAAGAAAGGGAAGCCCAGAGACCCCGGGTCAGCCTGTTTGACTGACACCGTCTCAGAGCTCCTTGAGTGCATTTCACTTAGAAGGAGAGAAATGTATTCCAGGGTCTTCCTTTTTAATGTTGCAAAGTGCATTTTAGTAAACGCTCTCGTAAAGGGTCCTTCCCTGGGTCCATATCTGGAACACACACAGTGGGTCTGGAACTGGCCCGGAAAGTCCAGGCGCCAGCCTGGGTGTGCTGGGACTGAGTTCTGAAGCAGGGGATGGCCAGCTGTCCACGGCACCCCCGCAGGAGGCCTTCCGCTGTGTGTCCATGCCTTTTTGCACCTGCATAAGCAACAGTAACCCACCGAAGGGCCAGGTCGAGAGGCCCCGCACCGTTCGGCACAGTCTCCGTCTCGGGCCATCCCTGGATGTGCACGTGCCAGGCCTCACCTCCCCCTGGCCGCCCTAGCGGGATGTCCACTGTCAAGCCGTGTCCAGCCAGCCGGAGAGCACGCAGGGCCTTTCTCCAAAGCAGAGTGGCTTTCCAGTTAAGGACAGCGTTTCCCAACAGGGGTCAACTTGAAAATGAAGTTTAGCTTTCCGAGTACTGTCAGGAAACTTAGTGAACATTCCCGGTGATTCTCCCGTACGGCGGGAGGAACCCCTCGAAACTGCGGGCGGTGCTTTAAGCACTTGCTAAGTGTGGGCATCCAGCTCCGCTGAGTTGCTGGAGGCGGTTTCCTGTTTGTCGGGGTTGGGGCTGAAATGTTTTGTATGAACACAAGCTAAGCGGCATTGTTTCTGGAGGATGATAGCACCCCAGGTAGGGAGAGTAACTGCCTCTCCAGAGCTTCTCAGAAGCAGGGGCTCTGCAGTCCGTCCGGTCTCGTAAGGATGACTGACATCCATTCCCTTTCTTCCTGCAGGCTGCATCGACAAGTATGGGTCTCCGTACGCCAAAAAACCAGGCTTCGCCACCTGCGTGCAGAGTAAGTCAGCCTCCTTTCCTGGGAGCACTGTGGGTTTGGATGACTTTGGACTTGGCTGTGGTTTGTGGACGGCCCTGAAAAGTTATGTTTTTTTTGTTTTGTTTTTTTTTTTAGGTTTGATTATCAGATTCCTTTCTTTTTTTTTTCTTGTTTTATTTTATTTTTATTTTTTTAAAATTTTTCATTATACTTTAAGTTCTAGGGTACATGTGCACAACGTGCAGGTTTGTTACCTATGTATACATGTGCCATGTTGGTGTGCTGCACCTATTAACTCGTCATTTACATTAGGTATATCTCCTAATGCTATCCCTCCCCCCTCCCCCCACCCCACGACAGACTCCGGTGTGTGATGTTCCCCTTCCTGTGTCCAAGTTCTGTTTTTTAAGGAGCTGTGGTCTCTTCCTGAGGCCTGCTCCCTTTTCACCAAACTTTCTTTTTTAAACAAGTAAATTTTGACATTTTTAGCAATAGGCAATAAATGCACATGGAATAAAATGTAAACACTTCACAGGGTGTGATGTGGAAGCCCGTGCCCGCCTCTGAGTCAGACACCACTGTAGTTACAGTTCCAAGAATCTTGTGCTTAGACATGTAAACATGCGTGAGCGGCCTTCCACTCTTCACGTGCATGGCAGCTTAGCACAGGCGGTCTGTCCCGTGCCTCTGCGACTCTGTCTGCGCAGGAGACCCTCTCTTCGCGTCTGTCTCCCCTTCACGCTGGCATTTCCAGCCGGGCTTAGCCCATGCGTGTTGGCTGACGTCCAGTTTATTCCCAATTTCCATCGTTATAAACAAAACTGGCGAGACATCCTCGTGCACCTGTCGCCTCCCACACGTCTGAGTGCGTCTGTGGGATGCGTTCCCAAGGATGGAATTGCAGAGGCAGTCCTCATGTTTCCTTTGGATACAGATACTGCCAAATTATCCCAGAGCCGGCCTCAGCCGCCGCCCCTGCAGGGGAGAATGAACGGCTTTTTTAAACTTTTGATCTCTTCCAATGTAACAGGTGAGAAATGACATCAGTCCTTTCAGGTTTTTGTTTTGTTTTGTTTTTTAACTAATGAGTAAAGCTGTACTTCCTAGGTTTAAAAACTGTGTATTTCTTTTCCTGTAAACTGTTGTTTATATTTTTTGCCCATTTTTCTCAATGTGTAGGCATTTGCAAATTAGCCATTGGTAGTAAAGTTATCAAACATTTTTTCAGCTTGCCACAAGTCTTTTTTATTATTTTAAAATTATCATAGAATAAGATTGATATTTTGGGTGTCCTGTATGAATTTTAACATACCTGCGGCACAACCCACACAGCTCCCCTCGAACTGGGTCTGTGGTCCCCTGGCATCACCTGTGTCTGGTTTTAGATGAAAGGCCACCTTGGTGCGTCCCTGTGGGCGCTGAGAATGGAGGCGTGGCAGTACAGAGTCATCCTGGGAGAGGCAGGAGTCTCTTCCCAGGCGTGGCTTTGGAACCGGATCCCAGCTGGCAGAAAGAGTCAGAGGTGGCTCAGTCCCACTCCCCAAGCCCCATGCGCTGTCCGTGGGCGTCTCTAGGCCTCCCAGACTTGGATCACAGACCCCAGCCCAGGAGCCACAGACAGAGGAAATGGTCCGTGTAAACATGGGATTGGGAGGGTGGCCCTGCCGTGTGGCCCAGCCCGCCCTGACCTGCAGCCACACACAGTAACCCGGAGCCACGTAGGGCCCAAAGTCTGCATATGAGGCAGAGGCTCCTGTGCGCTCAGAGGAGACAAACAGATCCTGCCACACATGGTTTATCTTAGTGATTGCTAAACCAATCTCTTCTTTTAAATTCTATTTTCACACTTGTTATATTCTCTTAGTTCCTGGGCTTTAGGCTTCCCCCCAAGATGACAAAACAGTTATCTGCTGTTAGGTGTTTTCATCTGTGATCTGCCTGTAATTTCTTTTGGCGTGACAGACGAGGTGGGGATCTGGACTGCAGGCACAGTTCCTGCCCCAGCACCACACGTTTGAAGTCTGTCTCGTCCCTGGTGCCTCGCCTGCCTCCATCCTCACGTCCCCGGTGCCTCGCCGGCCTCCATCCTCACGCCGTCCCGGGCCTCGCCAGGCCTCCATCCTCCGTCCCGATTGCCTCGCCGGCCTCCATCCTCGTCCCGGTGCCTCGCGGCCTCCATCCTCACGTGCTGGGTATTTGGAATTTCTGCGGGTTTTCCACAGGCGTGGCCGCAGCCTCCATCCTCACGTCCCCGGTGCCTCGCCGGCCTCCATCCTCACGTGCTGGGTATTTGGGAGATTTCTGCCGGGTTTTCCACAGGCCGTGGCCGCAGCTTTAGACTTGGCCTCATGCACGCGGGTGGGTCTCCTATGCCCTCCTCAGTCTTTTTTCTGGTTATCTTGCTTATTTTTTAATACAACTAGACTTTAAAAAATAGTCTTAAAAACCTAAAAAAGCCCTTTTGATATTTTTACCTGGGCTTGCAGTTCATATATTGGAGACTGTCTGAACAGCGTTGTGCTTTCCTCACCCTGGCACCGTCCTGTCCGTCCCTTGGAGCACTTTTCTTCCTGTGTGCCCCGCGCTTCCTTTGCCAAGTTCACTTCTGGCTATTTGTAGCAAAGAAGGCCGTCCTTTCCACGGCGTCGCCTCGCTTGCTTGCGTGGATGAAGATGACTGATTGCTACATGTTCATTTCTGTTCTTGCCGCCCAATAGAGTTACCTTGTTTTGGTTTATTATTTCCTTTGTGGCATCAACATCCCCGAGTGCGGCCAGCTGGGGAGAGGAGGGCAGGGTCAAGATCCTTGAGTTTGTTCCCTGTGTGATAGGAAGAGAATCTCTTGCTGTGGCTGCTGCCAGAGGCAACACATGCAGTTTATAACAGGTCCACCTGCCCCAGGCCAGAAGCTCCGGCCACTCTTCCTGAGCCGGCCCTCAGAGGCTGCCCTGCCTGTGGCCTGGGGCTCTCAGCTTCTCCTCCAGAGCACATGGCTGGGGCCTCTGACGTTTGAGTGCCTCAAAAGACACCTGGCGGTGAGGAAGGTGCTTTGGGGGCCACAGCAGGCAGCCTCACGCTCCCCTGGGAAGGCGCCTCTGGATGGAGGACATGGCTGGGGCAGCCTCGCACCCTGTTCTTGTCCATCAGTCCCTTGTGAAAATTCTCTGACTTGGTGCTCACGGTGCTGTCCTGGCTTCAGTTCACTGGTTATCGGTTATTGTGAAATTAAAGCCATAGCCCCACAGAGTCCCAATTCAGCCCCAGACAAGCCGGCCCCCGGCGGGCCTTGCATGGGAGCCTGTGGCCCTCGGGCTGTCCCAGGACCCAGGCAGCACGGTGGACGGAGGGAGGAGGCCCGGGAAGAGTGTAGGCTGCGTTCCCGGGTGCCCCTGAAGAGCCTCTGCTTCCATTTCTTTCCTTTCCTATGGACACATCCAGCCTCTCCATGGCTGAACATTCCCGTCCTGCCCTAGCGGCCGTTTGGTGCTTGGATTTCTCGGCTCCTTTGGCCCATGGGTTTCCCCAGGAAGGTCAGGTCCCCACAGGCTGTGGCCCAGGCAGCGGTCACTGAGCCCCGGCTACCAGGATCCCCACCCCCGCCACAGGGAGTGTCCCCTCGCCCTTCCCTCGGACGGATAGGGCCCTGGTCCTTGCCTGTCACCACCCAGGGAAAGGCCCTAGCTGCCGGCACTGGCTTCAAATTCCAGCCACAGTCATGGCTGCTCCCTCCTGTCCTTCAACACAGTCATGGGCCGAGCTGAGATAAACTTCACCTCCTGAACTCTCTGCAGGTGCCAGTGCCCAGGGCATGACCAGCCAGACCAGCGACTCCCTAGGCCCAGCTTGTGGGATGAGGGTCAGAGAAGTGGGTGCCCGTCAGGGAGGTGGGCGGGGTCAGAGAAATGGGTGCCCGTCAGGGTGGTGGGCGGGGTCAGGGAGGTGGGTGCCCGTCAGGGAGGTGGGCGGGGTCAGAGAAGTGGGGGCCCGTCAGGGAGCTGGGCGGGGTCAGAGAAGTGAGGGCCCGTCAGGGAGGTGGGCGGGGTCAGAGAAGTGGGTGCCCGTCAGGGAGCTGGGCGGGGTCAGAGAAATGGGCCTGGCCAGGTGGTAACAGGAGGTGCCTGCTGGGGAGGTGGGCGGGGCCAGAGAGGCGGGGCCTGTGCCAGGAGCGGGCTGGCTGAGGAAGGAGGCCCACATTGCAGGTGGGCGGGCCAGAGGGGCCACAGGGAGCTGGGCGGGTCAGAGAAATGGGGTGCTCATTGTGATGGGCGGCTGAGAAGGGGTAGCCACAGAGCTTGGGCATGGGGCCAGGAGGTGGTGGTCTTCTGGGGCCTGCAGAGTGTTTCTGCTCCTGTTATTTTCTGCTGTGGAGGAAATCACAGACATCTGCTGGGCACGGCTGAGTGTCCACCCTCAGATGTGGTTCTGTCCACACTGTGGTGAGGTCAGTGGCTGCCCAATAGCTGAATGATGGGACCCTGGTAGGCGCCATGACTGGGGACTCACAAGAGCTGGGGCACCCGGCAGGAGCAGGCACTGTCCTCAGCCTCGCTTGTCCTCAGCCTCGCTGTTCCCAGCTCGCTGTCCCCAGCTCGCTGTCTCAGCTCGCTGTCTCAGCCTCGCTGTCCCCAGCCTCGCTGTCTCGCACTCACGGTCTCGTGCTCACCAGCCTCGCTGTCTCAGCCTTGTCTCACAGTTTCGCTGTCGCTTTAGCCACTCCTCAGCCTCGCTGTCCCTCAGCCTCGCTGTCGCTCAGCCTCACTCCTCAGCCTCGCTGTCCTCAGCCTCACTGTCCCTCAGCCTCGCTGTCCCTCAGCCTCGCTCTCCCTCAGCCTCGCTCTCCCCAGCCTCAGGGACACAGGTCTTTCCAAAGGGCGTTCCAGGCAAAGTCAGGACCAGGTTCCCAGCCCTTCACATCACATGGGCAGGTGTCCACTTCTGAAATGACTTTAGTCTCTAACCAAACATTGTAAGTGGCAGCGCACAGCATCCCTCCACAGTGGGGGCCTCTGAGGGTCAGGTTC